ATGGTACTGGCACCAAAACAGGCACAGAGATCAATGGAACAGAACTGAAAGCCCAGAAATAAAACCATACATCTCTGGACAGCTACTCTTTGACAAAGGAGCCAAGAACATACAATGGAGAAAGGAAAGTCTCTTCAATAAATGGTATTGGGAAAACTGGACATCCACGTGCAAAAGAAAGAAAGTAGACCATTGTTTACACCACACACAAAAATTACCTCAAAATGGATTAAAGACCTGAAACCATAAAACTCCTAGAAGAAAACATATGCAGTATATTCTTTGACATCGGTCTTAGCAGCATTTTCTTTTCTTTTTTTTTTCCTGCTTTATCTCCCCAAACCCCCCCTGTACACAGTTGTATATCTTAGTTGCAGGTCCTTCTAGTTGTGGGATGTGGGATGCCACCTCAATGTAGCCTGACGAGCGGTGCCATGTCTGTGCCCAGGATCCGAACCCTGGGCCGCCACAGCTGAGCACGCAAACTTAACCACTAGGCCACGGAGCCGGCCCCAGAATTTTTTTCAAATAACATGTCTACTCAGGCAAGGGAAACAAAAGAAAAAATTAACAAATGGGACCACATCACACTAAAAAGCTTCTGCAAGGCAAAGGAAATAAAGAACAAAATGAAAACAACCCACCAACTGGGAGGAAATATTTGCAAATCATATATCTGACAAGGGGTTAATTTCCAAAATATATAAAGAACTCATACCACTCAACAACAAAAAGAGAGACAATCTGATCAAAGAATAGGCAGAGGTTACGAACAGATATCTTTCCAAAGAAGATATACAGATGGCCAACAGGCACATGAAAAGATGTTCAACATCACTAATCATCAGGGAAATGCAAATCAAAACTAAAATGAGGTATCACCTCACAAAAGGCAAAACTATAGGGAAAGAAAACACAGGAGCTGTTGCCAGAGTCTAGGGGTGAATGGAGGTGTGGACTCAAAGGGGTACGGGAGAATTTTTGAGTAATGGAACCATCAGAATGGCTGTAATTAACAAGATGAGACATAATAAGTGTTGGAGAGCATGTGGAGAAAAGGGAACCCTCATATACTGCTGGTGGGAATGCAAACGAGTGCAGCCACTATGAAAAAACAGGACGGAGATTTCTCAAAAAGTTAAAAATAGAAATACCATATGATCCAGCTATCCCACTAGTGGAGATTTATCTGAAGAACATGAAATCAACAACACAAAGAGTTCTATGCACCCCTATGTTCATTGCAGCATGATTCACAATAGCCAAGATGTGGCAGCAACCCAAGTGCCCATCAACTGATGAATGGATAAAGATGTGGTATATGTATACACATACACACACACACAATGGAATACTACTCAGCCATAAAAAAAGACAACATCGTGCCATTTGCAACAACATGGATGAACCTTGAGGGTATTATGTTAAGCGAAATAAGCCAGACAAAGACAAACACCATATGATTTCATTCATATGGAGAAGATAAACAAACACATGGACAAAGAGAATAGATTAGTGGTTTCCAGAGGGGAAGGGCGTTGGGGTGGTGAGCTAAAGGGGTAAAGGGGCACATATGTATGGTGACAGATAAAAACTAGACTATTGGTGGTCAGTATGATACAGTCTATACAGAAACTGATATATAATAATGTATACCTGAAATTACATATTATAAAGCCATATGACCTCAATAAAAAAATATTAAGAACTGTTCTTCGAAAGACATTGTTAAGACAAAGAAAAGACAAGCCACAGACTGGCAGCAAATATCTGCAGATCACATACAGGCATACCTCAGAGATATTGCAGGTTCAGTTCCAGACCACTGCAAGAAAGTGAGTATTGCAATAATTCAAGTCACAGGAATTTTTTGGTTTCCCAGTACACATAAAAGTTTTGTTTACACTATAATCTATTAAGTGTGCAATAGCATTATCTCTTAAAAACCAACTCACATACCTTAACTAAAAGATACTTTATTGCTAAAAAATGCTAACCATCATTTCAGCCTTTAGCAAGTTATAATCTTTTTGCTGGTAGAAGGTATTGTAAAAAATAAAACATCCGTGAAGCACAATAAAGCAAAGTGCAAGAAAGCAGGGCACAATAAAACGAGGTATGCCTGTATCTGATAAAAGACCTATTTCTAGAATACATAAAAGCTCTTTAAACTCAGTAATATGAAAAAAAACCTATAAAGGAATTGACAAAAGACTTGCAAGTTGTTAAAATAAACATCATTTGCCATTAAGGAAATGCAAATTAACACTAGCATGAGTTCTACCATACACCTATTAGAGCAGCTAAAATGAAAAATACTGACAATACCAAGTGTTGGTGGAGATGCAGAGTGACTAGAACTTTCATACATTGCTGGTGGGAATGGAACAGTTTGGCAGTTTCAAATAAAGTTAAATATACACTCGCCATATGACCAGCAATCCCATACCAAAGGTATTCACCCAAGAGAAATAAAAACACGTTCATACAAAAACCTGTATGCAAATGTTTACAGTGATTTGTAATGGCCCCAAATCGAACATGTCCTTTAGGTGGTAAATGACTAAAATGGTGGTGTATGCATACAATGGAATACTACCCAACAAGAAAAAGCGACGAACTACCAAGACTTGTGTCAACATGGATAACCCTTCCAAAGCATTATGCTAAGTGAAGAATCCAGACTCTAAAGACTATATATTGTATGATTCCATTTATGACATTCTGGAAAAGGCAAAACTATAGGGGCAGAAAACACAGGAGTTGTTGCCAAGGGCTAGAGGTGAATGGATGTGTGGACTCAAAGGGGTATGGGACAATTTTTGAGTAATGGAACTGTTTTACATTTTGATTGTGGTGGTGGTTATGTGACTATTTTTGTTTGCCACATTCAAAGAACTGTACACTAAACAAGGGACATTTTACTACATACAAATGACACACAAAAATTCATTAAAATGGTATGGTATTAGGCTAGTGGATTCTAAATCTGGTTGTACTTCAGAATCACCCGGAAATCTTCAAAACAAACAAAAAATTCCTAGATCTCATCACAGATTTTTCTCTTACAGATGTTACATTACAAGGAGTTCTGTAAGAGGGTAGATAAATAAAAATCCTGTTGTCTCAGACTCTTTGACAGCTTATAAAATTGAACTTAGGAAGAATAAATGAACTAAAGTTCTGTGTAAATATTGCGCAACTCCAGCGAAAGCAAAGTCATTACTCGGTCGCCAATATAAGTAAGTCTTTAAAGAATGGTTCCAGCATTCAAATCTAAAAGTCCAACTTTTACAGTGTTGGTTTCTAATAAACTACTTTTTAATAAACTAAGTATTATGGAACAAGCTTTAAACAAAAGTGAAATCCATACCGAAATGTGAATACAATGTAAATAGTGTTAATTACAAACACTCAGATAAGCTGTGTTATGAGTGCTAATTATTGCCACTTAGCTCAATAACTACCAGGAGTCAGCTTTTTGTACAAAGTCCCTAAATAATTAACCTAGCGGATCATAGCAGAGGCTGCTGGAAATATCGTTTGCTCATATCAACCTCAGCTGGGAAAAGCAAATGGAAAAGAGAGCTCAATGTAGACAGTATGCTGTTACAAGTCCCCCTTTCCTCCCCAAATCTTTGACTTCCTTCTTTTCAGCCCTACTCTCTTCTTGCTCAATGTGCTGAATAGCAGTCATCTGGGAAATCAGAAGGGAGAGGCTCAGGAGGAAGGCTCTGGGTACAGAGCAAAGAAACTGAGAACCAGCTGCTCAATTCCCTAACCCATTCTTCCCAGTTCATGCAGATGAGCGATCCCTTCAGAGAAGGCAGGAGACCAGAACAACCTGCTCCAAATGAGGGTCCTGTGTGAATAAGAGGGGGTTTGTCAGCCAAGAGGGGCCCGACTACTAACTGGCATACAGTTTAACAAGTCCCCCACTGAAACTGCGGGCTGCTCCCCCTGCGGGCAGGGGGGAGTTTCTAAAAAATTCTGGCTCAATAAACATGAAATGCAGTTATGCCTCATTCTATAGACAGGCACACTTATGGAAATTTTTCTTAAGTGTTAAAAAAAATACTTAGCAGAGGCAATGGGACAGAACAAATACTCAGTAAACATTTGCTGACTAATTGGTTAAGATTTCCTGAAATTCTTTTCCCTGATAGCTGTTGGGTAGGTGGTATAATTCCAAGAAATATTTGAATCTCTAGGTTTTAAGTTTTCTATTTTAAAATAAAGAGGGAAGAAGTGTCTCCCAGCAAGTTACTTAACCTTTTTGTGCCTTAGTTTTCTCTTCTGAGAAATGAGCATAATAATTATACCTAACGCATAGGACTATAGTGCAGATTGAGTGAGTTAATCACATAAATTTCTTAGACCCTTACTGGGTACACAGTAGACACTCATAGTAGTTATGACGATTATTACTCCAAAAAAGGCTCGATTGAGTGAAAGAAGCCAAACACAAAACAATACACTCTGCATGATTGCATTTCTATGAAATTCTAGAGAATGCAAACTCATCTGTAGTGACAGAAGCAGATCAGTGGATGCCTGGTGCTGGGGATTTGGTGGTGGTGGGGGGTTAACTTCAAAGCCACATGAAGGAACTTTTGGGGGTGATGGAAATGTTTTAGATCTTGGTTGTGGTATAGTTATACACACATGGGACAGGTGTATACATTTTTCAGAACTTAAAACGGGTACTGTTTATGGTATATAATCCATCCCATCTCCCACAAAAAGACGTAATAAAAATAAAGCCTCTTGGGACGCGAATTCTAGGAAGCAGGTTACAGAAAAAAAGGTGAATTAATGGGTTTAAAAATTCTTTAAACCACCTTCAGCAACTGAAAAAAAGAGAATAATTAACTCTCTTTAGCATATTGTTTTACCACAAAGCTGATCAGATTCACTGACACTTTAGAAAGAGCCTATTTATTTGGGGGGAGAGGCTTAACTTGATTTGGCATCATTTACTAGTTGCAGGGCAAATCTACCTGCGTTGAATTCGGGATCATCTTCCAGGACGGCCACGGCACTTTCCACGGCGTCAACTGCGCTCCCTCCCTCCCTGAGGATGTTGTAACCCACGGTGGCGGCTCTGATGATGCCCTGCCGCACCCGCTCTTTCCGGTCCTTGGAGATATGGCTGGCCCCGCCGCCGTGGACCACGACCACGGGATTCATGTCGACGGATCCTAGGGATCAGGAAAACGAAAGCGTTATTGAAAAGGGTCCAAAAAAATCGCACAGGGCATCATCTCCTCCGGAGATTCCGTTGGGGACAAGGTCCAGTTTCTGCTTAAGGAGGAAGGCAGGGTTCACAGCCTCAGGCAGTTGTCTGCTGAGACGCAGAGCGGGGAAAGAGGCGGCTCGGTTTGAACTTTGCTCGAAAAGCCGAGAGCGGCGCCCTCCGCCCCCGTGGAGGTAGTGGGGGGGCTCCAGGACCCAGAGCCCACGCCGCCTCCTCTGGACTGCCATCGGGCCTCAGTTTCCCCGGAGAACCCCGGCTCCCGTCCTGTGCTGAGCCACTGGCCGAGGACGGGAGGGGATGGCGCCCGGAGCCAGCGCTCCAGCCCTCCTCCCGGGCTCCACGTCGGGCCTCGGTTTCCCCAAAGAGGTGTCACCCGCTCCCTCCCCTGTTCCCCGCCGAGGGGCCCGGGGCGGCTTCAGGGCTGGACCTGATCAGCGCTCTGCGCCCTCGAATCCCCAGCACCGGGAGGGTGCTTACCAGGTGGGTGCTCGGCAGGGCCGTCGACTTACCCAGGACCCCACAGGAGACGGCCGCCGGGGCTTCAGGCTGGGTCGAGCCGCCCGGCCGGCCTCCGAACCCGCACGCTCCAGCCCCCCAGCGAGCCCGTTCCGGAAACCGCTGGACTCGCAACCGCTCCGCCGGCAACGGCTCCGCGCCTGCGCACGAGAGCGGGGCCGCCGCGCAGAATTACCGTAAAGCTCCGCCGCGCAAGCGTCTCGCTCGTCAGCCGGGGTCTCGCTCCGGTCTGGACTCCTGCTGTCTGGCTTCCAGAACTGGGGCTGTGGCGGCCCTCTGTGCACGTGAGCTTGCTAGTGGGATGTGAGGAACTCCTCCTCTTCCTTATGAGGCTGGGCTGGGTGGTGGTGTTGGCAGCGCAATGCATAATATGGTGGCCCACGGTTTTGTCACTGAAAATTGGGTAATGTTGGCTTCGTAGAATGAGTTAGGAAGCCTCCCCTCCTCTTCAATTTTTGGGAAGAGTTTGAGAAGGGTAGGTATTAAGTCTTCTTTGAATGTTTGGTAGAATCACCAGGGAAGCGGTCTGGTGCTGGACTTGTATTTTTGGGGAGGTTTTTGATTACTGTTTTGATCTCCTTGCTGGTGATTGGTCTATTCACATTCTCTATTTCTTCTTGATTCAGTTTTGGAAGGCTGTATGGTTCTAAGAATTCATCCATTTCTTGTCGGTTATCCAGTTTGTTGGTGTATAGCTTTTCATAGTATTCTCTGGTAACCACTAATCAGTTCTCTTTGTCCATGTGTTTGTTTATCTTCCACGTATGAGTGAAATCATGCGGTTTGTCTTTATCTGGCTTATTTCACTTAATACCCTCAAGGTCTATCTATGTTGTTGCGAATGGGACGATTTTGTCTTTTTTTGTGGCTATTAGTCCATTGTATGTACATATACATCTTCTTTATCCGTTCATCAGTCGATGGGCACTTGGGTTGCTTCCACGTCTTGCTTTTGCCCATTTTTAAATTTGATTGTTAGTTCTTTTGTTGTTGAGATATATGAGTTCTTTATGTATTTTGGATATTAACCCCTTGTCAGATATATGGTTTGCAGATATCTTCTCCCAATTGTTAGGTTGTCTTTTCCTATTGTTGGTGGTTTCCTTTGCTGTGCAGAAACTTTTCAGTTTGAGGTAGCCCCATCTGTTTATTTTTTATTTTTGTTTGTTTTTTAACTTTTTATGAAGATTATGATAATTTACAACCTTGTGAAATTTCAGTTGTACATTATTGTCAGTCATGTTGTAGGTGCACCACTTCACCCTTTGTGCACTCCCCCCACCCCACCCTCCTTTCCCCTGGTAACCACCAATCAATTCTCTTTGTCTCTATGTTTAACTTCCACCTATGAGTGGAGTCATACAGAGTTCATCTTTCTCTGTCTGGCTTATTTCTCTTAAAATAATACCTTCAAGGTCGATCCATGGTGTTGGGAATGGGAAGATTTTGTCTGTTTTTATGGCTGAGTAGTATTCCATTATATATATATATCATATCTTCTTTATCCAATCATAACTTGATGGGCATTTAGGTTGCTTCCACGTCTTGGCTATTGTAAATAATGCTGCAATGAACATAGGGGTGTATGGGACTTTTGGAATTGCTGATTTCAAGTTCTTTGGATAGATACCCAGAAATGGGATGGCTGGGTCATAAAGTATTTCTAATTTTTTGAGAAATCCCCATACTGTTTTCTATAGTGGCTGCACCAGTTTGCATTCCCACCAACAGTGTATGATGGTTCCTTTTTCTCCACAACCTCTCCAACATTCGTCACTTTTTGTTTTGGTTATTTTTGCCATTCTAACAGGTATAAGGTGATATCTTAGTGTAGTTTTGATTTGCATTTCTCTGATGATTAGTGATGGTGAGCATCTTTTCATGTGTCTCTTGGCCATCCGTATGTCTTCTTTGGAGAAATGTCTGTTCATGTCCCCTGCCCAATTTTTGATCGGGTTGTTTGATTTTTTGTTGTTGAGCTATGTGAGTTCATTATATATTATGGAGATTAACCCTTTGTCGGATAAATAACTTGTAAATATTTTTTCCCAATTAGTGGGTTGTTTTTTGGTTTCAATCCTGTTTTCCCTTGCCTTGAAGAAGCTCTTTAGTCTGATGAAGTCCCATTTGTTTATTCTTTCTATTGTTTCCCTCGTCTGAGGAGTTATGGTGTCCGTAAAGATTCTTTTGAAACTGATGTTAAAGAGTGTACTGCCTATATTCTCTTCTAGAAGACTTATTGTTTCAGACCTAATCTTTAGGTCTTTGATCCATTTTGAGTTTATTTTTGTGAATGGTGAAAAAGAATGGTCAATTTTCATTCTTTTACATGTGGCTGTCCGGTTATCCCAGCACCATTTGTTGAAGAGACTTTCTTTTCTCCATTGTAGGCCCTCAACTCCTTTGTCGAAGATTAGCCATCCGTAGATGTGTTGTTTTATTTCTGGGCTTTCAATTCTGTTCTATTGATCTGTGTGCTCGTTTTTGTGTCAGTACCATGCTGTTTTGATTACTGTAGCTTTGTAATATGTTTTGAAGTCAGGGATTGTGATGCCACCAGCTTTGTTCTTGTTTCTCAGGATTGCTTTCACTATTCAGGGTCTTTTGTTGCCCCATATGAATTTTAAGACTCTTTGTTCCATTTCTGTGAAGAATGTCATTGGGATTCTGATTGGGATTGCATTGAATCTGTAGATCGCTTTAGGTGGAATGGCCATTTTAACTATGTTTATTCTTCCAATCCATGTGCATGGAGTATCTTTCCATTTCCTTATGTCATTATCGATTTCATTCAGTAATGTCTTATAGTTTCCTTGTATAGGTCTTTCACCTCCTTGGTTAAATTTATTCTTAGATATTTTCTTTTTGTTGTGATTGTAAATGGAATTGTATTCTTGAGTTCTTGTTCTGTTAGTTCATTATTAGAGTATAGAAATGCCACTGATTTTTGTACCTTGACTTTGTATCCTGCAACTTTGCTGTAGTTGTTGATTATTTCTAATAGTTTTCCAATGGATTCTTTAGGGTTTTCTCTGTATAAAATCTTGTCGTCTGAAAAGAGCGGGAGTTTCACTTCCTCATTGCCTATTTGGATTCCTTTTATTTCTTTTTCCTGCCTACTTGCTCTGGCCCAAACCTCTAGTACTATGTTGAATAAGAGTGGTGAGAGTGGGCACCCTTGTCTTGTTCCTGTTCTCAGAGGGATGGCTTTCAATTTTCCCCGCTGAGTATGATCTTGGCAGTGGGTTTTTCATATATGGCCTTTATTATGTTGAGATATTTTCCTTCTATTCTGATTTTACTGAGAGTTTTTATCGTGAATGGATGTTGGATCTTGTCAAATGCTTTCTCTGCATCTATTGAGATTATCACGTGGTTTTTGTTCATCCTTTTGTTAATGGGGTGTATCACATTGACTGATTTGTGGATGTTGAACCTTCCCTGTGTCCCTGGTACGAATCCCACTTTATCATGGTGTATGATCTTTTTAATGTGTTGCTGTATTCAGTTTGCCGATATTTTGTTGAGGATTTTTGCATTTATGTTCATCAGTGATATTGGCCTGTAATTTTCCTTTGTGTTGTCCTTGTCTGGTTTTGGGATTAGGGTGATGTTGGCCTTGTAGAATGTGTTAGGAATTTTTCTGTCTTCCTCAATTTTTTGGAATAGTTTGAGAAGAATAGGTAATAAATTGTCTTTGAATCTTTGGTGGAATTCTCCCGAGAAACTGTCTGGTCCTGGACTTTTATTTCTTGGGAGGTTTTTGATTACTGTTTCAATCTTTTTACTTGTGATAGGTCTATTAAGATCTATTTCTTCTTGATTCAGTTTTGGGAGGTTCTAAGAGTCTAAGAATTTATCGATTTCTTCTAGATTGTCCAATTTGTTGGTGTATATTTTTTCATAATCTTCTCTAATAATCTTTTGTATTTCTGTGGTGTCTTGTAATTTCTCTTCTTTCATTTCTAATTTTATTTATTTGAGCCTTCTCTCCTTTTTTCTTAGTGAGTTGGCTAAGGGTTTATCAGTATTGTTTATCCTCTCAAAGAGCCAGCTCCTTGTTTCATTGATCCTTTTTACAGGCTTTTTTGTTTCAATTTCATTTATTTCTGCTCTAATTTTTATCATTTCCTTCCCTCTGCAGAGTTTGGGCTTTGTTTGTTCTTGTTTTTCTGAGTCTGTTAGGTGTAGTTTAAGATTGTGTATTTGAGCTGTTTCTTGTTTGTTAACTTGGGCCTGTATTGCTGTGAATTTCCCTCTTAGGACCGCTTTTGCTACATCCCATAAGAGTTGGTATGGTGTGTTTTCATTCTCGTTTGTCTCCAAATATTTTTTGATTTATCCCTTTATTTCTTCGACGACCCATTTGTTGTTCAGTAGCACACAGTTTACTCTTTACATTTTTGTTCCTTTTCCAGCTTGCTTTCTTGTAGTTGATTTCTAGTTTCACAGCATTATGGTCGTAAAAGGTAGTAGATATGATTTCAATCTTCTTAAATTTATTGAGGTTTGCCTTGTTTCCCAGTATATGGTCTATCCTTGAGAATGTTGCATGTGCACTTGAGAAGAATGTATATTCTGCTGTTTTTCAATGGAGGGCTCTCTGTATATCTATTAAGTTCATCTGGTCTAGTTTTTTGTTTGAGTCCACTATATCCTTGTTGACTTTTTGTCTGGATGATCTGTCTGGTGATGTAAGTGCGGTGTTGAGGTCCCCTATTAATATTGTGTTGCCATTGGTATCTCCTTTTAGGTTTGTTAATACTTGCTTTATATACTTTGGTGCTCCCGTGTTGAGTGCATACATGTTTATAAGCTTTATGTCTTCTTGGTGGAGAATCCCTTTTATCATTATATACTGCCCGTCTATGTCTCTCTTTACCACTTTTATCTTTAAGTTTACTTTGTCTGATATCAGTATGGCAACACCTGCTTTCTTTTGTTTTCCATTAGCTTGGAGCATTGTCTTCCATCCCTTCATTTTGAGCCTATGTTTGTCTTTAGAGTTGAGATGTGTTTCCTGGGGGCAGCATATTGTTGGATCTTGTTCTTTAATCCATCCTGCCACTCTGTGTCTTTTGATTGGAGAATTCAATCCAT